TGTCACTGGATAGAGCCACAGAATGTATTTAAAACCTGACAGGGAACTAGTCATTCCTCATTCCATCCAAAACAAAACAAAAATGGCTGGCATTACACTTTAACTCCTGAGTAAAACAAAGTTCCTCAACCTTCATCTTTCTCTTTATGGGAAAAAAAAAGGAATTTTGACTTACCTGCAAATGCTATATCTTGGAGTACAGTACAGGATACAGAGTGTTCATACACCTCAGGTTATAGGTATGCACCTTCAGGTGATTGGACACTGGTAAAGCTTTAGAGGACACCCTGGGCACTTCCTCTACAACCATACCCTACTCCTTAAGTCCTTAGTTTTGTAGAAGGCAATGCAAAGTGAACCAAGCAATGGAAGGAAAGGTATCTTGTGTCCTGCACTGTATTCCAAGATCTGAAATTTACGGACAACTCAAAATTTCTCATCTTAATTGTGCAGTACAGTGGACACAAGCAGAGTATTCATACACAATGGAACCTCCCCATGCAATGAAAAAGAGGATTGGACAACAATGAGGCAAACATTAACTGTGCCAACAGGCCCAAACAGCAAGGGTCAGAAGACCCTACGTCAGAGTGCCGCTGCAAGATCCCTACAGCCAAAAGCTGTATCTGCAGAAGATTGTATGTCCCCCTGGTAAACGTTGAAAATACATGAACAGAACAACATATGGTGGCCTTACACAACTGGGCTATAGAGGCTTGGTCTCATAATGGCCAAGAAACTCCCACCAATCTGGTGGAATGGGCATTAAAATATGCAGGAGGAGTTTTTTTCTTTGAGAAAGAGTACTGTAAGCTCTTGCGATCAGATTCCTTATCCATCATGTGATGGATGTATCTGTGGACTTTGATAATAGATCTTCGTGTAAGAGGTCTTTTTTGCTTTTAGAAACCCCTCTATCCTTTAAGACCGGGATTTCAACAGCCATGCTGTTAAATCTAGGGACTGAGAAGCAGAATGGAATAGAGGGCCTTGGGATAGTAGATCTGAGCTGTTGGGAAGAGATCAAGGGTTGTCAGGGATTATTAAAGCATCTGAGGCTAGAGCTGGAGAATCCCTGGTTCTAGCAACAGAGGTAATTTGTTGTTGATCTGGAGGCTAGGATGTCCACATCCTGAATCCCCCATTTTGGCATATCTGATTGAAAACAAACCTGGTTTGCAAGCACCTGTACAAGTGAGTGGAAAACTTTCTCTATGTGATTTGATTTTTATTAAAATACTACACTTAGATAAGCTATTCACTTGTCTGATTCATGCATTGGCCGGCTGCATTCTCGTGGGAGGAATATCTAAAGTTAACCATAAATTATATTACTGGAAACATATTGGAATTCCTTATGTCTGGCTATAAGCCACAGAGCCCTAGAGGGAGAACAATGGAGAACCTAACAAGAGAGGGTGGTCCCCTATAAAACCAAAGGTGCATTTCACCACCATAAATGGGGTCAAAGGTTCTGGTGAGTGAGCCATCCACACTTCACGTTTATGAGCTCGCGGGGAAGATCACAGTCACCTTTAGATTTTTTTGCATTTTTTTTTTACCTCAATTTGGGACAGTTATAAGAGTTTTCACATTGTTTGTGTTTTCAACATTCACTTTATATGGTACTATATGTTATTATCAGTCTAGTTGGCATACGAAGGGTTAATATCACCAACTGGTCTAGGCACTTTGAGGCATGGACCAAACTTGAGATAACCATATAGGGATTTCTTTAGTGATAAAAATTCCATATTTATTGCACCATACTAAGATTATTGAATAAATGTAGTGCCTATCTATTTAGATTTTACTCACGTTATAAGTGTTAACCACACTCAATTAGGGGCAGCTTCACCTTGAACTCATATCACATAGCGCCTACCTATTCTATTCATAGTTGTGGCATTGTCTGACTGCACCCTGACTGGATGTCCTTTCGGAAGGGGGGTTTGAATGCTGTAGAGTCAGCCGGACTGCTCTGAGCACCAAGATGTTGAGGACAACCTTTGTTTTCCCTCATGACCATGTTCCTTGGACTGTAAGGGATTATTACACTCCTCTCCAGCCTGAGAGACTTGTGTCTGTTGTGATAACCTTCCAGTGGTAGGGAAGGAAGGACTTCCCCACTGTTGGGGCTAGGGTGGTGATCACCAAGATAGGGAATTCCTTGTTTGGCTGAACAGGAGCATTGGTAAATTGAGAGAAAAAGCCTGCTTATTCCAGGTTGACAAGATGATGAGCTAGAGAGTTCTTGAATGGAATTGGGCAAACGGTATTGCTTCGAACCTTTCTTTTCTGACAGAAAGACATTTGCTTGGGATCTGCACAGGACCAGACACAAGTATTCCTGGTGAATGGAAGGCTGGAGAGAAGATTTATTGAAACAGATCACCAAGCTGAAAACTTGGAGCATCTTTTGCCCTGTGGACATTTTCTGATAGCTGCAAGAGAGAGGAGTCCTTCAGAAGGTCGGCTACGTAGCCCGTGACTCAGATGCCCTGAGTTCTGAGAAGGGCAAGCAGAGGTGCTAAGACCTTTGTGAACACAGCAGGATCAGCTACAGGAATAGCCCTCTTTGTGAACTGTTTTTCCACTGGATAGAGTTCAGTAAAGATTTTGGAAGAAGTGAAAATTCTTTCAGGAGTGACCCAGTTGTCATACACTCCACATCCTACTTATCCATTAATAGGAAATGCAGGTCTCTTTGTACCCAAAGTGTCATGGTGAGAAGAATGAGAGCTAGACTGCAAAATGCCAGGGCTCCTGCGGACAGAGGCTTTTCAACATTACCAAACATGTTATGATGAAGCCCCCTCTTTAATATGGCGGTAGTCTGGGGAAGAAAAATCTTATGCAGCTTCCTTCAGTAATGCCTCAATATAATACTCTTCATTCCCTTCTGTGTCTGCCTCCTCTAGGACAGACATATCAGGATCTGACTCCAGTTGGGAGACAGAAGTAGGAGAAGAGGCATTGCAGTCTTGAGCCCTGGACAACAATGGCTGTATTAAAACTGTAAACTATCGGAAATTGTGATGTACTGTAGATGCAGAAAATTCTGGTTTTGTCAAGTAGACCACTTGTTGCATGTCTGAAACAGATCTAGAATCTGATGCAGAGATCAATTTTAGAACTGGACCCTGTTCTGGTGCAAGGGAAAAATCTTTACTCTAAGGCTAAGTGTTGTTCAGACCTTCGGCAGAGTGCATGTTCGCCTGTGATTTCCACTGGCTCACTTTGACCTGGTTTCTGCCATAGCTACAAGTGAGGGTATTTACCTGTGGAATACTCATGAAGTAGGGTGCAGTGTATAGAGTAACAGTGCATCTGTAAGTACAAAATAACCCAGGTGTAGTTCGTCCTATAATTAACCCTCTTGGTGAAAGTAAGGGGAGGAAGCACCTGCGTGCCTTATAAGGGCTCTAGGCAGAAGTGGCTTTAAAGTGTGCGACCAGCAGTGTGATGTAACACCGGATCATCCACTTGAGGCTAAGCTCGAAGTGGTCGAATTTTAGTACCAAGGTTTTGGTGGGAGGTGAATAGATTCCAAACATAGCCCCATTTTTACAGTAACCGTCAAAGATTCAGGGTGACCCTGACAAAACAATGGACTATATAAAGTCTAGGCTTTGCCCATCAAGGTGACCATACCCTCAAAGGGGTCTTCATTGACTGGGTTCCATAGTGGTGTAACATGGACCATGCAGGATCCAGTGCCAGAAGCAACAATTCGGGCTATTGCCACAGTGTGGGGTCCGGGAAGGGTTCTCATGGTTTTACCAAGGTGGCACCAGTCAGGATACATTGCTTCTATTTTGGCTATAGTTTGGTTGATTGAAGAATCCAAAGATAGCACAAAGAAAAATCTTTGGTCCATCATCTTCAGACACTAGCACAAAACTGAGAACTCAGAGTGCAGTAGGGTTTTAGGGAAGGTGCACAGGGGGCGTGTCTTCTAAAGCTTTGGAGGTACACTTCTATAACACGTGGTATATAAATACTCTGCCTGTGTCCTGTACCATACAATTAAGATTAAACCAAATTACTATTGATTCCACTTTCAAACATGCCTAATGTCACTGTTCCTCTAAAAAAAAAATCATTATATAGATTTTTGTAGTTTAAGAACTACCTGCAGTGTTATACCAAGCAAGATGCCTGATATTTAACTGTCTACTGTCATCTCAAACTATTAAGATAACAAATGTTATGCAATACAATTATTTACAAGGTTATCTCTTGTTATTGATGATAGTACACTTTAAAGCTGAACCCATTAATACAACTCTGTGTTCATTCATACATGGTGATATATTTTTGATAACTGCAACTAGTGTAAGTAGCTGAATTTTACATGACCTCAGCTTCTTCTAATCCCTGTGCAAAACACAGACTGGGAGATAGAGAAATTCCTAGGAGCCAGCTGGATTCACTGCAAGCAAATGTGCCATTCCTTAATTGTAAAACATAAAGTGGTGTTGTCCCTCTGTTTGTGCTCTCTGGATGGGATGTGCAAGTCTCAGTACTGAATAGATAGTAATACAAATCTTTTGACAGGCAAAACAGCACTAATAAATATTTAATTAGTGCATTTAGATGTTTGGCTGGAGTTTAGAGCTTTAAAAAATACTCTTTTGTATATATGAAATATGCATTCACATGCAAAGACCTTTATAATACTGTTAGGCACCAATGGATATGTATTATTATGTAAGACAATAAGTGCAAGCACAAATTAGTGCATTAGTACAAAGCCTAAACAACAAGATTCACATGATACAAATGCAAGCACAAAACTGGGGACATTGCAAATACACACATTAATTCATATAGAAAGAAAACATACATATAAAAAAGAGCATACTGTATATAGTTAGTGTTAGACAGTGCAGCACTAGAAATGTTGTGTAAGAGGTATATGTAGGTTCATAGCAATACATGCTGGTTATTGCAAAGGTTCATGCTGTCACACAACTGCTGGTACTTGGGATACTAACCTGCGGGTTGAATGACGGCGCTGTACGTGGACTGCGAACAAAATCCATAAAGAAGGCCCCATCCTGAGATGAAAGTGACAGTGCAGAGAGAGCCATAAAGACAGACAGTGACAGGATGAACCACACAGCATTACATTTGGAAGGCATACAGGAATTAAGAAAATGGACTAAACAGAAGTGACCAAGTCCTATCCAAAGGTTAATAAAAATCTATATCTACCCCTTCTTCCTTACCTTACGAGGGCTGTCAACAAAGGTTGGGGTGACAGCTGGATCTGTGGCCTGGCAAGAAGCTTTTCCAGCATGCGCTAGGGCTTGCTGTTCCCCCAAACCCCTGTAAAAAACATATAATTTATTTTACTTTGTTTATTCTTAAATTATTTCTGAGAAAAATGATTTTCCAATGATTCTTGAGAGATGGGCCATCTTACTTCTGATTTGATTCCAACTCTAGCAGAGCTGAGAGTGCAGATGTTCCTTTCTTTCCTACTGGGGGTCCAGAGGGTTCTGGGGGGTGAGCTGGAAGCTGCAGTCCTTTCATACCTGTCCCCTTCTAAAAATACAATAAAAATGCAAGCAGATCGGTAAACATTTAAAATGTATGTTCCATATAATAGTAAACCAACAAGATAAAAAGAATGGTAAGGTACTCGAATCATCCGGTCAGATCTGTGACGCCTGCGGATTCGATTCAGACACTCCACAAATCGCAGGAAGCCATCTATTAGTTGTACTTCCTCTTGCTCAGATCTGGGGCGGTCTCCATACACATCACAACGCTGCTCCCCTTCAGTAATGCGCTTGGTGGGTCCAACACAAGAGGGAAGGAGAAGGAACCGAGTGCGCCAGAACTTTAAAGACTCAATCAGACTACACAGGAGGATGCAGAGTTCATAGAAATAAATAAGAAAATAAGACAACCATTATTATAAAATATATATATATATATATATACGTGTATACACATATACATGCATACACACACATACACTATATTGTCAAAAGTACTGGGACACCTGCCTTTACACACACATGAACTTTAATGGCATCCCAGTCTTAGTCCGTAGGGTTCAATATTGAGTTGGCCCGCCCTTTGCAGCTATAACAGCTTCAACTCTTCTGAGAAGGCTGTCCACAAGGTTTAGGAGTGTGTCTATGGGAATTTTTGACCATTCTTCCAGAAGCGCATTTGTGAGGTCAGGCACTGATGTTGGATGAGAAGGCCTGGCTTGCAGTCTCCGCCCTTCACTGGAACTAAGGCGCCAAGCCCAACTCCTGAAAAGAAACCCCACACCATAATCCCCCCCACCACACTTTACACTTGGCACAATGCAGTCAGGCAAGTACCATTTTCCTGGCAACCACCAAACCCAGACACGTCCATCGGATTGCCAGACAGAGAAGAGTGATTTATCACTCCAGAGAACATGTCTCTACTGCTCTACAGTCCAGTGGCGGTGCGCTTTACACCACTACATCCAATGCTTTGCATTGCACTTGGTGACGTAAGGCTTGGATGCAGGTGCTCGGCCATGGAAACCCATTCCATGAAGCTCTCTACACACTGTTGTTGTGCTAATTTGAAGGCCATACAAAGTTTGGAGGTACTTAGCTATTGACTCTGCAGACAGCTGGCAACCTCTGTGCACTGTGCGCTTCAGCGTGTGCTGACCCCTTTCTATCATTTTACGTGGCCTACCACTTCTTGGCTGAGTTGCTGTTCCCAGTTGCTTCCACTTTGTTATAGTACCGTTAACAATTGTCCGTGGAATATTTAGTCACAGATGGACTTATTGCACAGGTGGCAACCTATCACGGTACCACGCTCAAATTCACTGAGCTCCTGAGAGTGACCCGTTCTTTCACCTGTGGCCATGGAAGTGCTTGAACCACCGGAATCCAAGGAGGGGTGTCCCAATACTTTTGACAATATAGTGTGTGTATGTATATATATATATATATATATATATATATATATATATATACACACACACACACATACATATTCAGATTGCCCACACATTATGGCCACCCATCATAACCACCTAATATTGAGTAAGTCCCGATTTTGCCACCAAAACTGCTCTGACCTATCGAGGCATGGACTCCACTTGACCTCTGAAGGTATGCAGTAGTATCTGACACCAAGTTGTCAGTAGCAGATCCTTGAAGCCACACAGCCTCTGCCGGCTTACCTTCTTCTCATAGTGCATCCTGGTGTCATCTCCCAGGGTAAGTGACGTACACGCACCCGACCATCCACATAATATAAAGGAAAGTGATTCTTTAGACCAGGCCACCTTCTTCTATTGCTCTGTGGTCCAGATCTGATACTCACGTGAGCATTGAAGGCTCTCTTGGCTGTGGATACAGGTCATCATGGGCACCCGGACTGGTCTGTGGCTACGCTGCCCCATATACACCCAACTGCGATGCACTGTATGTCCTGACACCTTTTTATCATAGACAGCATTAACTATTTCAGCAATCTGAACTACTGGACTGGACTACATGGGCCAGTCTTTGCGCCTCATGTGCATCAATGAACCTTGGCCACCCATTTGCTGGTTTATGTTCCTTGGACCACTTTTGGTAGGTCCTGACCACTACAGACTGGGAACATCCCACAAGAGCTGCAAATCTGAAGATGCTCTTACCCAGTCATCTAGCCATTACAATTTGGCCCTTGTCAAAGTCGCTTGAACTCTTACGCTTGCCCATTTTTTCTGCTTTCTACAGATCAACTTCAGGGACATGTTCACTTGCTGCCAGATATATCCCTCCCACTTTCAGATGCCATTGTAACATGATAAACAATGTTATTTACTTTACCTGTCAATGGTCATAAGGTTATGGCTGAGTGGAGCATAAGGCATCGTTAAGTTCACTTATGTATTTCTTCTACACTTAATGATCAGTTATCATAGAGCTCAGGTTGAGTGTAGGATTGGTGATTTTCCCTAGTAGTCCACAGAACAGACAGGGGATGGGGCAGTGTCTACAAGATGGCAGACTTTGAAAAGGACGATCTGAGATCGAAACACGTCGAGGTTTGATGACAGAACTTCCGCTGACATCACATCCTCCCTGTGGAATGGACGCCGCTCTAAGGAGCAACCACCACAGCGGCATCCATTTTTTAAGTGCAATAGCAACAAGGCTGAGTACACCAAGTGCCAGGATACAGGCACTTTATTTGTGAGTGTATTTCTTTTAGTTATTACCCTGAATAAAGGTTAAGTGGTTTTACACTATGGAATGTCCCCTTCTGTTTCTTTATATATGGTGACATATTGCATAACCACCTTTTGGAGGAGAGGAGAGAGTGATCTTGGAACTTGTCTATTATCAATCACAGTCTCATCTTAAGGAGAGGTGGGTTACTTCATTGCCACAATCGGTTCACTGGGATAGTCCCAAAAGCGTGTATGACCTCTAGAGATACAGTAGATGGTCATTGGATGATGGTGTCAGTCCATGTGGGGCACTATTTTTGAGCACAATGGAGCACCTGTCATTTGGCTTGGAGATATACAATCAAAATACTAAACGTTGAATACTAGCACTTTGCACCAATTTCACTGGTGTAGGACTGAATGATATTGAACTTTATGTTGATTATTTACACTGTTTTATGCACATAGTATGCGCGGTCCATATGGGTATACATTCATGTTTTGTGCATTCAGGTTCACAATTTAGGACTGCTGCAGCTGTCATTTAAAATATTTTATTCATCTATAAGTGCAATAGCACACCTTTTTACACAAGGACAACAGGTAAGTGTTTAGGAACTGAAGAGTGGCTGTGAATATACTGGAGTGTTTTACCTTAATGCTGGTGTTTTTACCTTAATGCTGTGAATGCATTAAGGTATACAATGTTTAGCCTTCAGTACTACTTTAAATTGAGTCTGTGTGAATTAATATTATTTGCTTTATACATTTAACAGTGTAGTCAGGTTATTTTTGTAACCCCCATTACTATACAAGGGGGTTATTTTCTGTATAAATAAAGCAGAAGGTTATTACTTTTCTATTGTGTATGCCCAACCTGAAATCTTCAGAACCAGCAGAGCAGATGTACTGATCCAAATAGTTCCACTTGTAGTCCTCCAGCCGCTCATGGGAGAATTCCACCCAGCTAGGCACAAAGTCACAGCAAGAATGGGAGGGACACAGGTTATATGTGTAACTGATCTGGGCAGATTCATATGGATACCTAAGGAGAAAACACAAGTGCATGTTCATCCATAATCATTACATTGAACTCTCTTTATCAATGTCTTCACACAAGTTTCACACATTTTTCACACTGAACTGAAAAAAAAAAAATCTGTGAATCTTGATTGAAAGTAGTTTGAATCTTGGGTGCACACATTGATAAAATTGACCCCATTGTCTTTAAATAAAATGCCACAAAAAAGGAATTTTGACTGAAAATTCCATAACTTGGAGTATAGTACACACAGGTAGAATCCGGCAAAGAATCCTGCTTTGGTCAAATAGGCCGCTTATTGCGTGCCTGAATTAGAACTAGAGATGATGCTGAGACCAATATAAGAACCACCTCTTGCTCTGGTGCAAAAGACGCATCACCACTCTAAGTTTGAGTGTGTGTGGGCCTTTAGCAGAGTGAATGTTCACCTGCGATTTTGCATTGGTTTCCTTTTTCCTGGTCTCCACCATAGCTACAAGTGCGAATATTCCCCTGTGGGGTACTTATGGAATAGGATCTACACAATAGGGTCAATGTGTCTGTAAGGTAAATGTGGTACCAAATCCACTTGGTGAATGAGTGAGAGGAAGCACCTGACTATCTTATAAGGGCTTTAGGTGAAAGTGGCGTTAATGTATGCTACCAGTGGTGTAATGTAACACCTGGTTATCCACCTGATACTGAGCTACTGGTTGAATTTTAGTGGCGAGTTTGTAAAGCTTAACACTGAGGTGAACTTATTCCACACATAGCCTCATTTTCTACAGTAATCAATAGAGATACAGGATGACCCTGTCTTGCCTGTCCTCAATGCTGGACTGTAAAGTCCAGGCTTCGCCCATCATGGTAGGCATATCCCCAAAGGAGTCTTTAGAGACTGGGTTTCACAGTGATGAATCTTAGCACTGGACCTGCATAGCACCCTGCAGCTAACTTAGTGTGTTGCAGTGAGTGCCAAAGGTGAGCATCCAACACAGGATTCAGTGACCGAAGCAACATTATGAGCTGTCACTACAGCACAGGGTCTGGTGTGGCTCCCATGGTTTTACCAAGGTAGCACTTATGTGGATACACTTCTTCTATGCTGGCATTAGTTGACAGTGAGGATTTTATTGAAGAATCAGAAGATAAAATAATAAAGAAAAATAATAAGTTAGTTAAGCTAAGAGATAATTTATCCATGAATTTCTCACCCTCAGACACTAACACAAAACTGAGGACTCAGAGTGGGTAGGGTTATAGGGGAGGTGCCAAGGGGCTTTGCCAGTGCTCATTCACCTGAAGATACACACCTATAACCCATGGTGTAGGAATATTCTGCCT